TTTGAAACATTGCAAGACGAACTGGTTCTGATCCACTGGTTACGTTTTCTATCTCTAAGTGATACACCCAACATTTGTCTCTCCATCGCTCTTTGTGCCTTCCTTATCCTATCCAAATTGGCCTGTGTAAATGTCCATGTCTGTGCTCCGTAGGTGAGCACCGGTATTATACAGGAGTTATATACCTTGCTTCGTAAGTATAGAGGGATTGTTTGATTTTTTAAAACGTAAGAAAGTTTGCCGAACGCTGCCCATCCCATTCTTACTCGTCTCGATATTTCGGCTGTTTGATTTTCTCTGTTAGCTCTGATTGCTTGTCCTAGATAGATATACTCATTTACCTGTTCTATTTTTTGTGTTTTTATTTTTATTGCGTCTTGGACTTCCGTGTTTGTCATTACTTTTGTTTTGTTGAAGTTAATTTTTAGGCCTTTTTACTTAATTTACTTTAGGCCTTGTTAATTTTTAGGAAGTGATTTTTCATCCTTGTATACCAAATTTAATTTACATCACAGTCACTCATTGTTTGACATTCTCCCCCCTTTTTAACATACCAAAAATTGCTATTGATCCTACTACACAATAAACTTAATTCTTCACAAAAAACGGCCTATTCATAAACGAAAGCACAATGACTTTTGCTCCTACCACATCATTCTACTTGACGTTGACGGGTACTGACTGATTTTTAATACCATCTTTCTATCAGCAGTTAACCCTAACCCTAGACTCCAGCACAGATCAGAGATCATGTTGACAAAATCTCACCAGCTCCTGGGGGTCATGTTAGATGCCTCCATTTTTAGTTTTTATTAATCAACGAAGTTAACGATCATTGATTGGATAGGATTGATTTTTGTTACTGATGTTCTTCTATTGTTTTTCTGTGGCCAAACAATGTTTTTAACTTTAACTTTTTATGTAAGTAGTAAAAAACCAAGTGTTCTTTCTACACATTAAATTTCAACTTACGTGTTTTTAATTTTGTTTTTCTACTCTCTCTTTTAGTAAACTGATGATGGAATGATTCAATTCCGAAAAGATCTTCTTTAAAATAAAAGTTTTAAGCTTTTAATAAGCATTTTTTATACCTTGATACACAAGAACACCACGTGCTTTAAATATATATATTTATTGTGTTAATTCAAATAACATTGTTTTCACATGGAGTTTTTGACTGTTTACCGGCGACACATATCGAAGTGTTTAATCAATTAACATTTTAATATTAAAGTGGTTTAATCCGTGTAACAAAAGATGTGGCCTTTTGATCTCTTGATGTCTTTTTAATATTTTATTTTTGTGTTCTCTATTAAATTTCTATGAGGTATTTGTAACCTTTTGACTATCTTAAAAGACGACACTGTTCTATTGCGAAGTGCATACTGATATCCGTTGAGAAAGTTTCTACAGTTTTTAGAATCTAATCTAATAGTAGTTTCGAATGGAAATGCAACACATGATTAATATAACAATGTATTTGTATATATCTCTGTACTTTATCAGTTATTCTTATCTATACTTCACAAACTAATACTGAAAATATCAAGTACTAGTAAAAATTAAAAATAAATAATGCGTCACTCTTGTCTAAGATCTTATTTACTTACATTACTTTATAAATTTAAATACATAACACAAAAAACACAAAAGAATAGGCCAAACCTTTAAAATGCCCACGTCCAATAAATTCTTGGTGAATCAGAAGGTTGTAAGTTTTTTACAAATTGTGTCAAATCAAATCTAAATTTAAAAATCAATTAGTAATAAACCAGCCCCGCCTTCTTCCCGCTAACGAATTAAAATAATAGTAGGTACTCCTGGTGGGATGATACTATTGGTACCGCCTTTATTATTGGTTCCGTTTATCACTACCAAATTGGCAATATAGAAACGACATGATTTTAAATAGCTAGGAATCAAATAATAAATAAATCCTTTGACACAAATATTTTATTAGGTATTTAACTTTATTTAGTTTTTTATTGCTTGGTCAATAGTCAAGCTTAGCCATTATAGTATTGTTATTTTGATGCTAAAACCTCAGAGTTCCCTTGAAATAGGCCCGTGTTGATTGCGATATTTTCACCTTCGACTTTCGGTATTGTTTTCAATAGGGAATTAGGTGAATTTTACTCGTCCAATCTGTCATATGCTTTAAAAATGTCACTTTTAAAAGGTCGCACATATTATCATCGACCATCGACTTCATAAAAGTCTTTTCACAAAGGGTTTTTTGTAGTCAATAAAAGCAGTAGGATATTGTTTTTTGGTATATGCCTGGTTAGAAATGACTTAGCCGCTGCTAAGTTGTTCTTTGCAGCCGCTAGATCTCATATCGCATCTATTGTCTTGAGGCTGTATGATATTGTTTAGAGAATATTATTGATAGATGTGCTAATTTATAGTATTCAGAAAAACTATACATACAATACAATACAAAAAAATACAATATGTTAAAAAAAGCTTTATTTTCACATTTTTTTTTTTAATATACATATACTATATTAGTGTACTAAAAATAGGGTGTATATATATATATATATATATATATATATATATATATATATCTATATATATATATATATATATATATATATATATATATATATATATATATATATATATATAAGTTACATGTACAGTTGCGGTCACGGAATAGTTTACACCTTACTTTTTATATTGTAATACTGTAAAATTGCAGTGTTGTACGGATTTGATAAATGTCAAAGTCAAAAAATTTCAAAACGTCAATGCTTTCGCGAGTGTTCAACAATAAAATAAAAGTATATTAAACTCTTCCAAAATGGTTAGAATACATTTGAATTATGCGCAAAAAGCAAGAGCAATTGCCAAACTCGAAGAAGGTTGGTCACTAAGGCAAGTTGCTGCTGATTTGAACGTGAGTCATATGTGCATATGGAAGATTAAACAAAGATGGGATAATTTTCACTCTATAGCACGGTTGGGCGGTTCAGGAGGGCAGAAGATTTCCACAGATCAACAGGATGAGATGTTAGTAGATTATTTGAGAGAATCTCCTTTTGCCACAGCTCAAAAGGCAAGAGAAGAGGCAGCGTTTCCAGGCAGTATTCGCACTGCACGTCGAAGAATTAGAGCAAGTGGACTGCTAAATTGTGTAGCTGCACGGAAACCTTTTTTGACTGAGGATCACAAGAGGAGACGAGTTGAATTTTGTAATGAATTTATAAACCGCGATGAGAATTTTTGGTCTAGGGTTGTATTTTCCGATGAAAAAGTATTTCAGTCGTATAATAATGGTCGAATAAGAGTTTATAGGCCGAGAAATGATAGGTATGATGAACAGTATACGCATCATTTAAGAAATAGTGGAGGATTCTCTGTCAACGTATGGGGATGGATAAGTGCCGAAGGCCCGGGCGTTTGTTATCATGTAGAGGAGAAGTTAACAGGATTATATTACAAACATATTATTGAGCACACAATGTTGCCATCGGTGATCCAGAGATTCCCCAACAACGACTTTATCTTCCAACATGACAATTGCCCGGTGCATACGAGTAGAATTGTTCGAGAATGGCTAGAAGAAACTGATGTTAATGTTCTTCGTGGCCTTCCCGTAGTGCAGACTTTAACCCCGTCGAAAATGTGTGGGCAGAGTTAACAAAGAAACTAAATGAAAGAAACCTTAGACCACGGAATAGAATTGAATTATGGGAAGCAATTGAGCAGGCATGGGAAGAGCTTGTTAACTATAACATGAGGGGATTGGTGCTATCTATGAACAGAAGACTGCAAAATTGTATTGACAAGAATGGGGCTTCCACCAAATATTAATTATTATTTATCATTGTTTATCGTTATTTAATATAAAATAGATTTAAAATAAAATGCATATTAAAAAAAAGACTTCTTTATTTTCGTTATTAAGATCATAATCCATTTTATTCAAAAAACTGTTTTCTATATTTTTCATTTTGTAAAATATTTTGATATTTTAATTTTAATCTAACTATTCTAACTAGTACACCACTGGCAACGTCACTTTGACGTAAAAGGTGCGTTTTAAACGAAGTAAAAATTTAAAAAATGGGCTCCTAGATACGTGAACCTGTAAACTATTCCGTGACCGCAACTGTACATAAGTATATGAATAATGGGTAGTACTTTTCTACAATCTTAGTAGAGGTCAGACTACTGTAAAGCTTAGCAACCCTACCTACGCTATCTTCTACTTTCTCCTATCTTCTTCTTCATGTGCCATCTCCTCTAAGAAGGTTGGCATCCATCATGGCAATTCGCATTTTCGATACCGCTACTCTAAAGAGATCAGCAGAAGGGCAAGTAAACCAAGCTCTCAAATTATTCAACCAGGAGATGCGTCCTCTTCCGCGACTCCTTCCACCCTATATTCTTCCTTGCATTGTTAATTGCAACAAGTTCGTTCCTAATAGATATTGCAGGTTTCTGACTTTAATTGTATTTTACTTGTATTAAACTTTCTCCTATACTCCATTCTTAAGGAATAAAGAGGTTTCAATCCTTTGCTATATCAAATCCTGATGGATTTTTCTTATTGTGGATCGAAATGTCGATCAACATATCTGGTGGATTGCACAGCGAGCATAAGTACCAAGTTAATCCGCATAGCAAAGGATCCTGCTCCGGAAAAAAGCATGAAAATCCAGTGCCTTTTTATTCTTAAAAAGCGTTGTCATCTAATAGAGGCCTTGACTGTTTTTGTAATTGTTTGCTACAAAAGTAACTGTTTGAAATTGTAACGTCTAATTCCGGAAGCTGATTTAATGTAAAAATGTAGAGTTATTTGATTTGTACGACCTGTGTAACCCGCTCGATGGAGTATAGCTTTAATCGTTCCAGCAGTAAAGCAGGTATCGTTCAGAATAATTTCTCTTGTTCATTTTGTGTACTATAGTGTGATTCGTCATTAAAATATATACAAACTACGAACTAAAGCATTTTATTTATTGGTATAATAAACAATGTAATATCCACATTCACTCCAATGGATGTAGATTTAACCAAATTGTTCCTTGCGGTCGAGTACTAATTGACTTTTTTGAATACTCTAGAGGAAGTTGAGTTTTTTCGTTTACTGTTACTCTGAAATCTTGTAATATGGTTGCTAGGGCGATTTTCACAACCGTCATACCAAATCGAGCTCCTAAAATAAAAGCCCGTATGTAGTTAAATGTACATTTTAATAATAAGGGTGTGACATCAAACATATAGTGTGAGGGAATATATGGAACGATTTGAGTTCTTTCAGAAACTTTGATAGTATACAAGGCAACTATCGAACACAGTGATTAATTAAATCTTGCCCAAGTACTTTCGATTAATAGATCATCTTCAGGGGCATCTGAAATAAGCCAAGAAACGTTTTTTTTAATAAGAAGGAAAATAATTTCACTTGGATAAAAAACTCCAAGTTTGTGGTTTGAAAAAAGTTTTTATGTAATAAACGTTTATAGACTTACTTTCGTCAGTTGTGAGCTATCCGACATGAGTAGAATGTCATAAAAAGTAAAATTGGACATAACAATACAATACACAAAGACAAACAAACACTTTAAAATTTTTAATGAGAAGCTACATGTTATACAGAAACCGGAGACAGAATGGGTGGCTCCCGGGTCTAGCGAAATGTTTAGATGACAAGTGACAAATGACAGCTTGTAAAGGGCAGTTATGTGATCTGCACCTTTCAAAATTCTATGAAACTAAACGACTAAAAGATAATTCCGGCATTTGTTTTGTAGGGTACTGAAAAATTGACGATATTTATATATTTGCAGGGAATCTTATAATCAGGAAATTTTCTTTATTTTGTTAAATAAAAGCGCCAAGTAATAAATATCTTTAGGTTAAAATAATTCCTTATATTGGAAAATAAAATATTCTTTTTTGAACAGAATTTTTGGAGAGGAAATCAAAACGTCCAAACAAACGTGATTAATTGTGGTCTCCTTCCAAAATACACTATTTAACTTTACATGGCACAATAAAATGATTATCAAATGGATCAATCTATAATAAAAGTTTGACCAAACATCTAATACCTAATAACGGATCTTCAAATAGATTCCCAATGAACTTTGGCAGTTGGTAGCATCCGTATTGTTGAAGGTATATCTGTCAAATTAGCTGTCAATCATTCTATTACTTTTGACCAATCACTATGCATGTACATGGATGTACTATAGCGTAAAACATCGTGGTAAATGATAAAATCATTTTATCAAACTGAGTGTTCTGTCAGGACAATGTTCTGCATTTCGCCCATTTTATGGTCGTAATAATCGTTCTACAAAGAGCTCTATTTACAAGTGGTGGATGAGTTTGAGTCCACTGGTTCAGTAAACAATCAATGTCGAAAATATAACTCAGCCTTTCTCAAACCACAACACTGACCCAGAATTTAAACAAAATTGTCAATAGACAAAGCATTAGTAGAAAACTTCATTTTAAGGTAAGAAGTATTCAGATACTTCTGAATAGGCACAGATATTTGCTATTTTACGACCTTGTCTAAAGAATACAAGTCGCATATTTAAAGCAAAGAATATATGCAGAGTTTAGTTTAGTTTAATTCAGTTACTCAGTATTGGCCAATATTCGGAACGAATAGCACTGAAAGAAGAAGACTCAGTATTGCTTAAACATATTGTAATAGTGACCCTACCTGGGTATATTGTACCTGTGTTAAATTATATAAGAAGTTATAAGATACAATCCGTCTTTCTTTTGCAAACAACGTACAAAATAATTTGGTTGGGCTAATGTAGCGCGAGTCCAACACTACATCAATAAGGTATTATACTATGTTTCTTTTTCTTACGGTGCCTACCTCTTAAAGATGTGGGCATTAACAAGGCTATTCTATTTTTACTGACAGCTTTTAGGTGTAGTATGTAGTCTCCTCTTTCCATTTTTTTAGGTTCTGGAGCCAAGAAATTCTCATCCCTGATCCTCTTTTTTCATACTCTTTACACTGAAGAAGTGAAGAATAAGTTCTAATAAGTCATATATCTGTTCGTTTCTTATAATATGACTTTGTTTCTACAAAACAAACGACCTTACATTATACTACTATACTATTATGTAATATGTAATCTTATTCTTCTTTGACTACTTCTCTTCTAGTACTCTTCTTTGAGATCTTGCGCGGCATGTAATAATTCATCTACTGATAAGCCAGTCCATTGACAATGCCAGAAAATACGATTGCTAAAAAGCTAATCACAGGAACACCTGTAGAAAGAAGAAGCAAAGGCCGACCGCGAATTAGGTGGTTAGATGGAGATGAAACCGACTTACGGATATTAAAAATCAGAAGATGTCAACATGTTGCCAGAAACCGAACAGAATGGCGACGAATCTTAGAGCAGACCAAGATCCACAGAGGATTGTCGAGCCAAAGATGATGATGAAACTCGTCATGTTAATATGTAATATGCTACAATAACCAATTAAAATTTGTTTATATTTACCAATACAAATCCTAGGTCCTTCTCCAAATGGCATAAAAGCCATCGGATGCCTTGTCGCTATGTTCTCTTCGGTAAAGCGATCAGGATCAAAAACGTCGGGATCTGGATAGATTTCGGAATCTCGATGTATAGAAGACACTGGAATTCCCAACATTGTTCCTTCTTCGATAATAAGATCAGAATTGGGAATTTTGTAGTCTTTGTTACATATTCTTAAGAGTGCTGGTAAGGGAGCATGAAGCCTAAGGGTTTCTGAAAGTAAACACCTATTAGTTATTACAATAAAACACATCAAATCTGAAATAGCTTAAAGTAAAACATTTAACATATAAATAAACATAAATAAATATAAATAATCCTAAATAAACAGAAATTTATTTATTTATTTATAATTTTTGTTTTTATATGGGGTTGTCCCTTACTGTGACGCCTAAGGCAAATTAATACTTTTTTAAATAATAAAAAATGCTCTCAAAGGCACCAAAAAACAGCATGGTAGTGAAGGGGTTAAAAGTCTATCGATATCAAATAATTGACACAAAACCTTAATTATTAATACATACCATTAATGACTTGTTCTGTGTAAGTTAAAGATTTCAATCCTTCAAAATTAATTTCATTATCGTTTTTTTCAAGCATAGACTTTACTTCTTGTATCACTTTTGCTTGAATATCTGGATGTGTTGCTAACTCAAATAATGCAAACTCGATCGTGGTACTTGACGTCTCCATACCTGCTATAAAAAATACAAAGCACTGAGCAACAACTTCAGATACCGACAAAAAGAGTTCATCTTGATCACCATTTTGCGTTACAGACGTAGAGTCTCCATCGTCTGTAATATTGCCCTTGTTTTTTAACTGCAGCAGAACGTCCATGAAGTCTTTTTTATGAATATTGTTCTTTTCCCTGTAGTCTATCACTCCTGTTACGAGATCCATAAAGCAAGAAGTTAACTCACTAGAGTGTGTCTTATACCCGGTCCTTCGAAGAATATGTTCTGGAAAGTTGCAACATATCAACCTCTTTATTTGTGTTGCAAAACTTCCTACGAGATTTTTTATACATATTTTAAGTACCTTTAAGTTCGATTCTCTGAGATGGTTGAATTCTATGCCGAATGCAATCGAGCCAAAATTTTCTGTAGTGAATCTAGCTCCGACTTCATGAATATTTACATATCCTCTAGAAAGCGATAATTCCTTTAAATGAATTCGAAGTTGATCCGAGCAAGCTTTGGTTATGGGAAACATTGACTTAAATCGACCTGAAAGGTGATATTTACTAAATTTTAGTATAACATGACAAAATATATTTTAAAACTAATGGAATAATGTAGAATAACTCAATCAAATGAGGTTGAATATAGATATTTACAACAAAAAAACTGGTACTGTAGGTCTTTAGACTAACCCAAAAATGTGTACTATGTTTTCTGTATTTTTAAATTTTAAGTATTATTTTTAAACTTTTCATTGCCGACAAAATTTTTGTTGCATTTTTTGTTTTGACTATAATTTATTCAAATTAACAGATGTTTGAAATGCGTTAACAAAAAAAATGTTTAAGAATGGTATAAAACTGCCTCCAGCTTTCTTCTGTTTCTACTTCATTTAACATAACCGATATACCAACTAGAGTTTCACATATTATATTTTCTTCTTTTGCCTATTTCTTAAATCCAGAATATATTGTTCAAAGAGCCTATCGTTCTTCTAGCTAGCGACAGCAAAAAACTTATCCCTTGCACATGGTATATGTTATGGGGAAATCAGCTACTTAATTTTTAATACTAATAATTTTAAGAGGCTACTGGGACGTAAAGAGTTGATATGACGAAGAATTGATAATTTGTTGATAGACTTGATCAACTTGTTTTTGGCAATGAAATGAAAGAATTAATATAAGGTTGAATGCTCGAATAAATGAACTTGAATAAATGAAAATTAAGGCAATTATATCGAGCAATATTTACACAAAGCCCATCCAAACAGATCATGTTATACTTGAGACATCTAACCATCCAACCCAACATAAAATAGCTGCTTTCAATAGTTATATTCACAGATTACTCAAATTTCCACTTTAGAATGATAACTTTAATTTAGAACTTAACACTCTCAAGCAAATTGCTTTTAATAATGGTTATGATCCCAACATTATCCTAAAGCTTCTAAATAGAGCTAAACTCAAAATTGCGGAAAAGCTTGCATATTCATCACAATGTCTTTTTCAACCTAATGCTTCTAACAACATCAGATATTTCTCTTTTACTTATATTAGCAACATTTCCAATAAAATAGCTAAACTTTTTATTTCTACAGTTGAAAACATCAAAATTTCCGTCAAGTCACACAACACTGTAGTGTTCCCAAACCTTTACCACCTTTTCCACGTCCAGTCATTTTTACGGTAAAATTACTTTCGACTTTCTAGAACATTCATCTGTGTCTGTTTTATACCCGCAAATTCAGTGATTGACGTGCCTCCAAATTGAAAACCGACCAATGGTATTAAAAATATTACAATTCAAAATTATTTAGTCGACCAATAGAAATTAAGATTGCTCCTCTCTTATGAGCCCACATTGTATAAACTATATAAACAAGAAAACGAAAAATTGTAAGCTCAGTATACGTGAGAAATAATGGCACGTACAAAGCAAACAGCCCGAAAATCTACTGGTGGTAAAGCCCCACGTAAACAGTTAGCAACCAAAGCTGCTCGTAAAAGTGCACCGGCCACTGGAGGAGTTAAAAAACATCATCGTTACAGGCCAGGTACCGTAGCTCTTCGTGAAATTAGACGTTATCAGAAAAGTACTGAACTACTTATCAGAAAACTACCTTTCCAACGTCTTGTTCTTCACAGATTTTACTCGTTTTCAGAGTTCGGCATTTGGTGTTTTTAATCAACACCAAAGATAGGTTGAGCACACTTAACAAAAGTGGTATTTACAAATTAAAGTGTGATGATTGTGATACCTCTTATGTAGGTAGAACTATTAGAAAGCTATCTACCCAAATTTCAGAACATTTGAAAAGACCAAACTTTTTAAGTTTTGGTTAACATTTACTATCTAGTAAACACAATTTCAACATCAATACTGGTTCGTCTATTTTGCATGACATCAGTAGAAAGAAAAACTATTTGGAGTTGGATTTATTGGAAGATTTGGAGATCACAAAGGAAACGAATGGAAACTCGCATTGTCTTAACACTCAAATTAATTTAAATTGTACTAAATTTAAACCTATTTTTAAATACTTTATTGCAGCTTCACCTCGTAGTGGACCCAGCTCGGCTGTTTAGACTTCCTGCACTGAGTATATCCATTAAGAATTTATTAATTTCATGCTTTGATCAACACTACTATTGTATTCTTTAACAATTTACACAACTAGCTTGCTCAGGTTCAATTGATCTACAGTTGGAGTTAATTTCACTCTTCATATCTCTGCGTAATCTAGATATACTAATTTCACAGTTGTATATTTCAGCAACTGCCACTGTTGGTCAGTTGGTCTTTAGTAACGCTATTACATATTAGTTTTACAGTTCTCCCATTGGCGGGGGTTTAACTGAACTACTTGAATTATACCCCATTTATACACTGCTTTCAATTTTGTTTTAATTTTTATTTTTAAATTTAATAGTCAGTTTTCTTCTCTTTTTTACAGTATTGACAGTGCCTGGTAGACCATTTTATTGTAGTCAATCACCCACTGTCCATAGATCGTTTAGTTTATTTCTTTATTCACACATTATGTACACTTTATTTACTCTCAAACTTACAACCTTATTATTACAGACGGGTGTGAGTGTGAGATCTGGATTATGCAATCTAGTTAAATCAAAATATTCTATATGTCATATTTCATAAGCTGATTTTCTATAGTAGTTTTAGTTGGACCTTTGGTCAATATCAGTTTATTTACACAGAATTTTAATATGTGCAGATCACATATCCATGATTGTGACTGCCCATCAAAGCTGTCATATGTCACATGTCGCCTTAGCATTTCCGTTAAATACCATTCTCCTGTTACCGCCAAAGAATGTAGAGCGTAGAAGCATTTTAATTAATTTTAAACTGTTTGTCCTTGATTTAGTGTAGTGTTTTGTACAATTTTATGTTAACATTCATGTTTATTACATTCTATACTTGCTGGATAGCCCATATTTGACGAAGTAAGTCTAAAACGTTATTTACAAAAAACTTTTATCATCCATTAACTTCGAGTTTTTATCGAAGTTAATTAATTTCCTTCATCTACAAAACGTTTTTTTTTGGCTTATTTCAGATGCCCCTGAAGATGTTATATTAAGCGAAAGTACTTTGGCAAGATTTGATTAAACTTGTGCTCGATATAATTGCCTTAATTTTCAAAGTTAATGAAATGAAGGCCTACGCAGAAATAAACGTCTTTTTAAGAAGAAAAGAGTTCCTTGAAATAGTATAGTGAAATCACCATCATCATCATCATCATCATCCAACCTTTATTTATCACGTCCACTGCTGGACATAGGCCTCCCTTAAACTCCTCCATTTTTTGAGATTTTATGTTTAAATTTTCCGAAGCTTAATATCTGTTCTTTGGGCCTTGTTTCCTTTTACAATAGGTAGGATGCTAACCTGACCCATCAACCTAAAAACAACAGAGATGAAAATACTCCGACGAATATCAGGGAGAAGTCTATTGGATAGGGAGACAAGCGAAAACATGAGCATGCAATACAGAAGACATAAATGGATGGGTGACAAAACGAAAATAGGAGTGGAACGAACATATCAGTAGAATGGCAAAGGATAGAATAGTACGAATACCACGAGATAAGTCACCAAATGGACGAAGAAGTATTGGCAGACCAAGAAAAAGATGGTGCGACAATTTAGGAGGCTAATATTGAAGAAGAAACAGGCTTTAAAGCCTACATACTAGAAGGAAGAAGAAGAAGAAGAAGAATGTTTAAATTTTCATCATTTCATTATTATCATTAGACTTCGGCAAATATGCAAATAAAAATGTAGAAAATATGCGCATAAATATGCACGTGTTTACCCGAAAATATGCAAATACCTATTTTACAAAATATGCATACAAATAAATAAAAAAAATCGTAAAAATAGTAACAATTTTATTTAAAAAAAAAGTGTACATAACTAAATATTTCCTACTATTCATTAAGATTTACATTTATTTTAAGTAACTACATCATTTTTAAGTATGAATAAACTTATTTAGAATTATGGTAACAATAAATGACCAAGTGGTGTTCAAAATTTTCTAACAAAAACTTGTGGCTTCTGTCTGAGTACATATATTTATATATGGAAAAACTTCGTTCAACATCAACTGATGTAACGGGAGCATTTTTCAAACTAACCAAAACATTTGGTTCTAAATTAATTGTTTCCGAAATATTTCCAGCTAGAACACTGACTACTTCAGAAAGAATATGGTAACCTTTATTTTTTTCCATAGTAGCTTTAAATTTTTTTAAAATATCTTTTCCAATATTACCTCTAACGTTCCGACAACATGACGCAAATTCTTTTATTAATGCTGTACTTTCGAACAATGACAGTTTTGGTGATTCTGAGTAATTGTTTTTTGAACAAAACTAAAATTTGATTTTATAAATGAAAGTTCTTGTTGAAGCAAGTTACTCTGAAAAGTTTGTTTAGAATCCAAAGAGATTGGGAACTTTCATCTGTTAACGTATCAATTATTTTCTTTATTTTAACAAAATGATCTGCATAAAAATTAGCTGCTTCTAACCATGTTCCCATCGCGTTAAAATAGGTTGTGGTGGAAGAGGAATGTTAGGTAGCATTTCTTTATAAAGTTGAATTCTTATAGGAGATTTAAGAAATACTTTTTTGACACTGGATATCATGGTATTTACAAGAGGAAACTTTTTTCGTATTTCCTCTGCAACTCTGTTTAATCCATGCGCTACACAAGTAACATGTATTAAATCTGGGAAAAATATTTTTAAATTTTGTCCTGCTTTCACCATATAAGGAGCAGCATCCGATAAAATAAGTAGTAATTTATTAGAAGGAATAGTTGTCGGAAGAAAAAAAGTTGCTAATGTGTCTTGTATAAAACGCGAAATTGTTTTGTTTTCTCAAGTTGCTGGCATGAAATAAGATGAGATTTTGGTAAGGTATCTTCTTTAAGAACACCAATCAATAAATGAGCAATATACTTTCCTGAGGAATTAGTGGTTTCGCCTACAGATATGCAAAAATAATTATCTGCAATTTCTTCCTTAATATTAATTAACACCGACGAGTATAGCTCGTTCACATTATTTCTTCTTAGAGACCGATCACTTGGAACATTAAGTTTGCAATATTTTTTTAGAAACGAACTAAAATTTACATTTGCTAATTTTGAAAGCGGTATGTTTGCAGACACTAATGCGCGACACAAGTCTTCATTAAAAGTTTCTTGCTCATCTAATTTTTTTGAAGTAGATTGGAAACATTTAGCCATTGAAGTTTGATGTTTTCCTCCTATTTTTCCTTTTTTGCAATGTGTGAAGCAGTTCTCACATGTTGGTCTATCTGAAATTTCTTCTCACATGCTATCTATAAATAAAAATAAAAACCTTTATTTTAACCCAACCTTTAAAATATAAAAATATACAAGGTGTTTTTGGTTAATCCAATAACTGGTTTGGAAAAAAAAAACACATCATATAACTTATTTTAAAATTCAGCAAAAAGTTTTTTTTTTTGTTAATTCAATTACAATAAAAATAATTGTGTTTTAGAATAGCCGACTTCATAAAAAAAAGTAAAGGTGAAAAATTTTTCTAAATACACACCATTGTATTGTACCATGGACAATTTTTTCTCACTAAAGGAAGCTATTTTTCATTTAAAAACAACCTACGAGTAAAATCACGTTTATTGGTTTTAAAGTTATTGTTGTTATTAACTAAAAGAATTTAATTTTTTTTTAATTTTAACACTCTGTATCTCGAAAAGTAAATAAGTTTGACCCCTCATTAACTATATCGTTTTGTTCAATTTTTCGAGAAGTATCTACAGTCAAACGTTGTAAGTGTCAATTTGGAAACACCCTGTATGTATGAAATATTAGAAATTTAATAGAAAATATTAGATACTTACAATTTTGCCACAGACTGAACAGTAGATTTTTCCCATATCCATAGACAGCTCTTTATAAGGTTTAATCCATGTTGAAGCACTGGTTGTTTTAGGCATTATAAAATCACAATCTTCCTTTTTGTTACGCACAACGAGTGTTTACGCTTTGAATATCAAAACAAAAATGATTTACAAATCTGAGTATCAAATTAGAAATGTTTAGGTACCTAATTCAATAAACTGTGAGATTTTGGAAAATCCCTAAATTAGGAACAAAACTATTAGCCGTTTACCTGCTGTTAAGATACAATAAATTGTAGATAGATTTGGGGATTAAATCATAAAATGCAAATGAGCGAACCCTTAGCGATTATCCAATAACTGCATGCCTCAGTGACCGAGACTTTCTAAGAATGTTGAGGGCTACTTAAATTGATCTTCTTTGAAATTGTAAATGTTTTGTACCTGTAGAGATTACGTACTTAGATCATTTCTTGATTAAAATGACTACAAAATTTTATACAAGAATTGAAATAAATTGGTATGTTTAAAAATTTTCAAATACAGTATAAAAATCTGAACTTTTATGCACTTTATGCAAACTTTTATACAAATATGCCAGAATATGAAATATTTGCATAAATATGCACAATATGCAAAATATGCAATATGCATATTTGCCGAAGTCTAATTATCATCATCATGCAATCTCTTCTGTCCACTTCTGGACATAGGTCTCTCCAATTTTTCGCCATTCTTTACGGTTCTGTGCTTGTTGTTGCCATTTCTTGGATACTCGTCTAATGTCGTCCATCCAGCGTGTTGGTGTTCGTCCTCTACTGCGTTTGTCTTCTCATGGGCGCCAATCAATTAGTTTTCTGGTCTATCTTGTGTCTTTCAGTCTTGTTATGTGACCTGCCCAATTCCATTTCAGCTTGGCTATACGTTCGACGATATCACTAATACATGTTCTTTTCCTTAAGTCTTGGTTCCTTATTTTGAATTGGTCAAATGTCTTCCGTTTCAAAGCTATCGGAATGTTGCTCTTAAAGATTTCTCTTTGTCTGGTTGTCGTTACCTATTCTGATTTCATGACCAAGATATATGTACTTTTCTGTCAATTATATCACTTGATTTTGGATGATTAGGTGTTCGCTGGGAACTAAATTTGTCATAAATTTGGTCTTACTGATGTTCATTTTTAGACCTATTGTTGAAGACAATATTGTTGTCTTCAATAATAAGTCTATTTCATCATTTACTTTTTCTGATATTACCATTTAAATTTAGTGGTAAATGGAGTGGAGCGATATAAAATATTAAGGTAAACACCAATATTTAGTATGAGGGAAGGAAAAAGATATTAAATGTAAGTAAAAATTAATATACATACCTATCGATAAAGTAGGACTCAGTTTGGCCCTAAGTTTCTTCCATTTTTCATTTCTTAAATTAAAAATATTCATTGATAAAGGATCTTTTGGGTCGCAGTATATACCCCTATTGACAAAATATGAAAAATCTTTTTGTAAAATGTGTTTGATCAGATCCAAGTCTACAGGAACAAAGCGTGGCTTAAACATTTCATAATATCCCCCATATTTTAAACCTTTTGATTTAAACTCGGCATACATATTATCCAGAAACTTGGCGATGCTTCGCCTGTTCATGAGAAGATCACTCACATTTCCACAAATTAATGATGGTTCCATTTGGTACACACCTTTTCTCGTCCAGAAAGAAAAGTGCCATTTTAAGTAAAGATAAATAACTGCAACTAAAACTAGGATGTAATACATCATTGGGTAGTTGAAACAAAATTAACTAAAATAAAAAAATATATTAATTAAAAAACTATTTAATGAGTATTTGTGTAATGGCAATATAAAAATTTCTGCTACATTTGTTGGTATGAATTCTTAATGGACTTAAATTGATATATTGATATATAGTATTACTGTATTAAACTACATTAAGAGACCGCATATCAAGAAGTTCGCTATCCAAAATAACTACTATATCATGAACACTCGATTTAGATACCATGTATGGCATACTTGAAAAAGTGATGAAGATAGGTTTGGAAATCAAATTGAATATATCCGTACTAACATTGTCTAAAGACCATCAATCCAAACAGATAAATCAAACGGAGAGAAAAAAAGAGGATAGAACTAAAAAGAATGATGACTGTTCCAGAAATGAACATATTGTTGTAAAATATAATATAAAAATGTAATTCTTTAGAGTCTTAGTGTAGAATAACTAGAACAGTCACTTGATCAAGTTTGTTCGCGACACCGGACTGACTGGCGTCTGACCCTGTTAAATATTTTTACACCCAAATAAAATAGGGGTAATCTTCCTGTTCACGCATCATGTAGTTTTTATCAGTTCAAGTTCACACATCGCCATCGAGGCATTGAGTAGTTAAAAACTCAATTCACGTAATAAATACTTCGCTGCGCCGAAACCGGGAAATTTCTCATACCGGTGTTTCCTTTTACGTGTTTACGTGTTATAAAGAAAGAGTACATTTAATATTATAAAGTAAGTTACGTACATTTAATATTATAAGTAAAGTAAGTGTTGGGCCTCTCTACTCTTAAAAGATTTAATTATAAATCGATAAACTCAAAGGTGATTTTACTTCTCTGAAGCTATATTTGGTCATATTAAGCATCCTTATCCTTCAACGATCACTGAAGAACCAAACCTATGGAGATACATCCATTCACAAGTCCTTTGAAGTAAGGCTTGGAATCCAAATATTTCCAACCCTCTTATGTAGGTAGCCAGTTACAAGGCTTCCTCAATGACCTTTTCGAAGAAATACAAAAAAGTATACCCTCCAGTCGTAAGAGTACATCACAAGAGATAGTAAACTTTTAAAAAATTTGTAACAAAATATAGGTATATATATATATATATATATATATATATATATATATATATATATATATAATATATATATAATTTATATATATATATATATATATATTTATATATATATATATTTTATATATATATATATATATATATATATATATATATTTATATATATTGTATTTTCGTCTTTTAGGAGAATATACTACCGGGAGCTATATAAAGACGATCAATGCCAGGCACGTGTTCACCAAACATAATGAAACAGATATTATTTTATTTACTTCTTGTTAGTATGTATGATGTGACTTCTTATATTCTTGTTCAGTAAAAAATATCACGTTAAAGTAAAATCAATAAAAAATAAGAATAATTTCTTTATTTCGGTATATGCTCATTAATTACCATTTATATCTTCTTCTTTTTTGAGTACCATACCCAAGTTTGAGACGTTGGTAGCTTTCATAACGGTTTGCCGATATCGTTTTCGATCTTGTGGAGCATGTAATAATTCATCTGCTGATTAGCCAGTCCATTGACGAAGGTTTCAGAGCCATGAGTATTTCTTTCTACCGATTAAGAGCTTAATTTTCAGCTGTAAGTTCAGCTGAGAATTGCTCAGAATAGATCCAAGTTTAATAAATGCTCCTCTTGCAATTTCTATACGAGTTTTAATTTCTTCATCCAGATTTATTGTCTCGTTTATCCAACATCCTAGGTATTAAAAATGGTTAACTTTTGTTATCGGTTCATTATTGACAATTAGTTGTATAGCGCCGAGGTCTTGTTTACTAACCACAAGTAACTTTGTCTTTTATTGTATTGTATTGTATTGTATTGTATGTATTGTATTTATGATTAGTCCGTTATTAAAGCATTCTCTAGTGATTTGATCTATAAGGGATTGAAGATCTTCGATACTTTCAGCCATGATTGCGGTATTATCTGCATATTTGACGTTATTAATAGTTTCTCCCCCGATTCGTACTCCACATTGCCCTTCCAGGCTTTGTTAAAAATTATTTCTGAGTAAACGTTAAACAAAGTCGGTAACAACACACAATCCTGTCTAACACCTCTTTGAATACAAATTTTGTCTGTTTCTTTGTCTACCAGAATACAAGTTTCTTGATTCCAATATAGATGTTGTAATAGTCTTAGATCTTTATCATCTATTCCAATTATTTCTAGATATTCAAACAGCCTACCATGTTGAACCCTATCAAAAGCCTTCCTAGAATCTATAAAACATACGTAAATTGGTTTCTGTACTTCCCATGATCGTTGAAGTGGTGTTAGCATTGAGAACTAAGCTTCCCTTGTTCCTAATCTTTCTCTGAAACCGAATTGTTTATTTTCCATTGTGTCTCCACATTTCTGCTTGATTCTATTAAGAATTACCCTAAGAAGCTAAGCTAAGAAGCTAATTATCCTAGCTTGGGAAAGTGACTCATGAGACTAATCAGTCTAAAGTCTTTACATGATGAATTATAAGGTTTTTTGGAAGTGGGATAAATGTAGACTAAAAACCATATTTGTGGCAGTGTTCCAGTTTCGTATATGTGGTTACAAATGTTTGTTAGTTCTGAGACATTGTCGTCGTCTAGAAGTTTGAGCCAGTCTGATGATATTTGGTCAGGGTCTGGAGATTTCCCATTTTTGCTTTCTTTGATGGCTTTCTCTACTTCTGCTTTTAAAATACTAGGACCAGTATTCGTATACTTTGTGGCGTTAAGTGGTGGCCTCGTATCCAGGAAGAGCTCTTTTTCTCTGAGTGTAGGTAATTTCTTTGTAACGTTTTTTGTTTATATTAAACTCGTCATGTTTTCTTTGTAGTTCTTTCATTTCACGACAACTTTGTTCCGTCCAGTCCTCTTTTGCTCGCTTAACTTCGTATTTTATTTGGCGATATATTTCTCTATATCGAGTCTCATCTTTATTTTCACAATTTCTTCTTTGCTGCTATGGTAACCATGGCAGAATTCATTATATCTATAGTTTATCCGATATTTTCTTGTTCAGATCTTTCTAGCTGTTTTTTAATTCCATGATTTATCTTATTTCTGAACTCTTGGCTATTACGGAATTTCTTAGGAGTCGATTATTATGTATTTTCTGAGCTGTCATTACGTCTGGGTCTTTCTGCCTTCCCGAGTGGTAGGCAATGTATCATTTGCTCTCGAATATGTTTGACCCGAGCCATTTCGTCTCACAGATACCTAGCGTAGAAATGACTAGTCTGGCCATTTCCAGCTGAATATTGTGTAACTTCGCGTCTTCAAACATAGTTGTGACGTTCCACGTAGCTATCTTGTGGATGACACGAGGATTTCGTAGGTTTACGACCTGAGAGGCCCCGTTTTCTGGTTGTGATTTCCTCTACTGCCGGATCTTGGATGGCGAAGTCCATGATCATTAACAGTATGCATACTTTTTTCCTCTATCATGGGAAGCTGTACTAGAGCCATCCACAAAGTTTTAATGTTGTGGTTTCTCCTGGCCTTCTACATCCTGATGCTGTTGACCATTTCTTGGTTCCTCCACCTTTGAGACCGATTTCTTGGTCTCAGGACAACAGAATGCCCTACCACTCACCAACTCGTCCGCCTGAAGCCGTTGGACAGTAAGTGGGAGGTTGCTTATACCGGGAATCACTCGGTCCCTATCTGCATTGGCCATCTATAGATAGATGTTGAATCCCTCCAGAGCTTTAGAAGATATTAGAGCATTTATATGCACCTAATCAAGGAAACATACTTTGTTGAAATGTCATTGTATAAACCACTTACAGTGAGCTTCACGTAAAATTCTTGAAAAAAACTTGAATATGTAACTCGACCTAAATAATTAAGACCAGTAATTTTAACAGCAATGCGGTAAGTGAAAATAAAAAGCTGAGGAAAAGTTTATAAAATATGAATTAAGAAATCTACAAAAAATATTAAAACTGACGGAGTAAAAAAAAATGTGGAATTTTTTTTTAAATCGCTTTCCTTTAAACTAAGCAAAAGTTGAGTACAATGGTTTTTATATCAGGTGTCGATGTGGGGAATATTCTCGCTTGAAGAATGGGAAAAGGGTATCCCATTAAATGGCCGAAAAATAAACCGTCTATGCTTTGCAGATGATACAACCATTCTTGCAAATATTCAAAAAGGCTAAATTTATCTCATACGTTGATCTGGTTAAAAACGAAAGTCAAATATTAGGTCTGAAGTTAAACATAGCAAAGACTAAGATCAGATAGCAAGAAGTATAACTCAGCTTTTATTCATGCCATTAATTATTATAACTCCTTAATTGTAGATATAATTGTTTCAGCTTTAAAAAACTTTGCAAAATTATCTTTATTAATAAAAAAAGGTATCATAATTTAATATTTTATAAGAGATTCAAACAAAATTAATCTATAGACTTTAAAAACCTGATTAATTGGAGTTATAGAACAATTAAAAATGAACATTGTAAGGTTTTTTAAATGATTGTATGTTAAGTAATGTAAATATTTCTGTTAAATTACCTTCAAAATACTCTATTCAGTCGTGAAAACTCCTTTTTCATTCGTTTCACAATTTAACTAAAAGTATTCACTCATGTTACAACCAAAAAAAAAAAAGAAAAAAAGCACAAAGTTACAGGCAATAAGTACAATAATTAGAAGTACCTTATCGGCTAAGGGTCCAATTAACTGTGTTTATGTAGAATAAAGTAAATGTAATAAAAGTAATTGATCGTTTACTTAAAAACGTATGACGTTAAAGACTTGTTTATTTCCGTAGTCTTTGGCAAGCTCAATGTCAGTATAGATTATTAATAAAGTTAAAATTAAAACACAAAATATGAATAAATGTAATTTTTTATTATCAATTTATGCTATTTATAAGTTTCATCAAGCTTTATTAGTTAAAAAAATATG